ACAACATGACAAACTGACCAATGGGTGATAGAAAGTTGCATCTTATAAAATTGAAATCATGGAAAGTTAATGCTGAAATGAATGCCTGAGATCTTCTAGTAATCTTTAAAGATGAGAAAAAATGAAGTCTAGAAAGATTATGTAACTTGCATATGATTCCCAATACCTGACTTGTTGGTATTCAAACCCCAGTTGCTATATGTGGCACTCAATACACTTTATACTTCCCCACAGGCTGTTTCTGACTTTAACACGATGGTGATTTATGCTGACTCACTTTCAGGGAGTGCATTTGTTTACCCAAAGGATTATGGTAGTAGGGTAATGTGTCTTTTGAAAGGTCTTTTTCCAGAACACCATCTTAAGTAGAAAGAACAATAATCCAACAGACACAAAAGCTCACAGAGGGGAGAAAACCAAAGACTCCCATTTCTACCCTAGTCAACACATCTTTCCATGTGTTCAGCATACTATGCTAATACAGTTCTTGAGGCCAACTGCTGGCAGCATTCAGAATGGCTCTCCTTTCTTCCTACGCTGCCTCTTGGTTTCAACTGGTAAGACCGTGAGAAGTAGGAGATTCCTTCATCTGTGTGGGCAGTCTCTAGTGGAATCCTCTTGGCTGTGGTTACTAGGTAGTTAGTGTGCCAGGTGAGTAGGAAGCTGTGATTCCACTCTCTAGGGTATGAAAACAAATCACTCACCACACCTTTGATCGGGACATCTCACCCAAAATAACCTTGTAGAAAGGACTACTGTTTTGGCAGACACAACAGGCATTGTTTTTTTTTTTTGTATTTTTCCCCCTATTATTATTTTTTTTTTTTAGTATGTAATATAAATATAACGTAGCGTAGGTAGCATAACACATTGAACTGCTAACTACAAGGTCAGCAGTTAGAATATACCAGCTGCTCCATAAGAGAAAGATGAGTCTTTTTGTTCCCATAAAGAGTTACAGCCTCAGATTCCCTATACAGGTTTGCTATGAGTTGGAACTGACTCTACAGCACAGTACCACCACCAATATAAATATAAATATAAATATAAATGTAAATATAAGTATAAATATAGGATCCAAAGTTTTTTTCTTTTTAATATGAAAAGTAGAACATGAAAATTAAGAGTTTCTCTCAATCCTGACCTCAGGGTTCTAATTCCTGTCTCTAGAGGCAACTTTTGTGGCCAGTTTCTCATGTTTTCTTTCAAATATATCCAATGCCTATATAAACATTCTTATCATTTTTAACCACCATTTGTCTGTCAGTTTGTCATACTGGGCATTCTGTTGTGCATAGGGTCAATCTGAGTTGGTACCAGCTCATTGGTACTTATCAATAACAGCACTATTTTTAAAACACAAATAGGAATATACATCATTATGTCATTTGTTTTTTTCACTTAGTGTATCTTGGAGTTTGCCTCATATTGAGCTTCTTGGTTATTTTAACCAACATATTACCAAGGCATTTTATCTACTGGGCTTCTCTTTATTGTTTTACTTCCTTTCTTGCTGTTGAGTACTCACTTGGTTCAAATTGGATTTTCCAATTCACTGAAGAGAGGGGAAAAGCCACATATTAAGAAAAACTACACCCAAATTAGGGCTGGATTGGTTTGATTGCCCGTGCTCCTTGGAAACAAGACATTCTTACTCCTATATTATAGTAAATGAGCAAGTAATCAGGAAGCTTCTGGAATTCACTCCCAGTACATTCTGGGAGTCTGTGGCCATGATGAATTGATTAGTCACAGATGTCTTCAGCTTGTTATGAACAATGGATTTCATAACAAGATGACTATTAAGTGCTCTGTTATTCTAATACAGGCAATTGGGCAGTGGCATCCCTAGGGTTGATGTGACCCAATGTGGTTACTCATGGTGTTATGCCACACTCTACCCCGCCCCCCATGGACTTCCTCGAGTGGTATGGTTGTACCAGACCATACAGAATCCTTAGAAATGTTTATTATCAATTTTAATCAAGTACTATGTGATAAATATAGTTATAAATTACTGAAATGTGTTATTTCTTAGATTAGATGAATAATAATAAACTTTTTTGCAAAACATTTTATTATTAGAATACTCCTTAGAAGTCAAGATTGCCAGACTTTGTCTCTCATATTTTGGACATATTATCAGGAGGGACCAGTGTCTGAAGAAGGACATCATGCTTAGTAACATGAAGGGACAGACAAATAGAGGGAGACCTCCAAAGAGATGGATTGGCACAATGGCAGCAACAATGCACTCAAGAGTAGCAATGATTATGAGGATGGTGCAGGACCAGGCAATGTTGTACACCAGGTCATTATGAGTCAACTGACTTAGCAGCACTTGATAATAACAACAAAATCTTTCTACCTTACTTACAGCATTAATAGCTACAACTTATTAGTAATTGAGCAGAAGCCTTTAAAATGTTTAATCCTTCCTTTCCTTCAATTACTACTTCATTCTCAAAAAAGATATTCTTATAGGTCCACAAATACTACTTACTACAATATGGTAGTTAAGATATGGAAAAGTGGACAAAATTAGTAATTATAAAAGCAATGGCAGTTACAAAAGCAACTGTGCTTGTAGCATGTGGAGATGAAATCATGTTATTCAATGGAAACAATGAAAGCGCTGACAAAAGTGATTTGTGTTCCGATCCATAGAGACCCTGTATAGGGTTTATGAGGAGCAGCTGGTGAGCTTGAAATCTCTGACCTTGCAGTTCAAACCGACTTTGCAGACCAGTGCATAAGCCACACCTTTGTTAGAAGGTTCAAAAAGTAAATAGTGTAAAGTTTTACCTTGTAGGTATATTGATAATGTAAACTGGGTTTATATTGTTTTTTTTTATTTTTTATTGCTGTTATAACTAACTAAAAAATAATAAATTTCTGCCAAAACACTGCCCAAAAATCTGATGACATTCATTTTGAGAGGGTTCTCAGACACTCTGTGAGAGTGTCACCTCTTGTAGTCTGCACCCCACACACACCTCCCTGGTAATGCCACTGATTTGGGGTTCAGTGAGTCAAAGCAATATACCAAATAATTTATTATGTGACAGAACTGAGGACAGATCTCAGATGACTGAGTTAAGAAGCAGAATAGTCTTAATTCTTTTAAAAGATGTTTTATACTTAGGCAGGTTTGCATGAGCTAAGTGGGGCAGAGGTAAATAATGATGTATGTGTACCCTTGCAACAACAGAGTTCTGGGATACAGGGATTAAGGCATGGTTTGAATGGATAAAAGAGGGGTAATAATGTTAAGATGCTTGGCTGTCTTTTGAATCCTGGTTTCTCTTGCCTACTATTGTAAAATAGACACTTGAGGAGGAGAGACAGGAATAGCCAAAACATCACCATAGAAAGCTTGTAAGTCCATCTTCAGCCTATAACTGATTGGAATACCTAAAATGGGGCTAGAACTTGCCCAGTGAAGCAGGCTTCTTGTGGAGCCTTTGCATTGCATAAGACCATAGGTGGAATCCTGATATCCATCCAGAATCTTCTTAGGTGGGAAATTTCCACTTGAAAGGACAAGCAGACCAGCCTGGAGCAGCTAGAAGAACAGAAGATACTTCTTGAAAGAAAGACCAGCAGGAAAAATCAGCAATAATGGCAGTTTGATTGACTATTACAAGAACAAGCAAGTTGTTCGTCTGGGAGCCATCAAGGCAAGTGATCAGGTCCCCTCAGGGCAAATCCCCTTCCAAGACTAAGACTCAAGGGGAATCAATGAGCAGGCATGTGGTCTTGCTGGTGACCACGTTGGTCACTGATAAGGAGAAGTGGGGGAAAAACAGCAGTGAAGTTGTGGCTGAGTCTGACCACATTCAATAGACTCCTGTGAACCCAGATTGAGACCTGGTTGGCCAGCAGTATGGCAAGACATGGGGACTCCTCCTAGGCCCAGAGACAGGGATATGGACACAGAGGACTAGAGCAGAGAGTGAAGTGTCCAGCTGAAATGAAGTGAGGAGAGATGCACAGGAACACCCATACTTGCAGATAGTACCTACTTGAATTGGCTTTAATGCCTGGATGACCAGAACTTGACTAGAAGAAGAAAGAAGAGGAAAAAAGAGTAATCTGCTATAATTTGATGAACTGAATCTACATTTATGGAAGTAGTATCTCAAAAGAGGGAACAAATCTTTACAGCCAGGATCATTCCCACCCTCTGGATACACAGGGATGGGCAACTTAGACATTGGCTACCTAAAATGGGAGGAGGGGGGTGCTACAAAGTCAGTAGGTGACTGGTTTACAAGCTTTCAAGAGGGAGCCTAATTCCAGAGGGTGCGGGGGAAGGTAGAATCTCCATTGAGTGGTTTCCAACCTGTCTGGATGGGGTTGATGAAAGGAGATGGGGACAAGACTCTTGTGGTTCAATAATGATTAATTGCTATCAGGACTGACTGTGAGTGTTAGAAATGTAAAGGTAGATGTTTTGTAACAAAAGGAGTAGAGTGGTTGATTTTGCAGTTGGTCCCTGGGACCATCAAGGGAGAAGAGTGGAGTGCAGGACCATATCCAGAGAAGCAGTCACGCCAGAGATGGAGGCAGAGACGATGACTTGGAGAGATGGAGCAGCTGGGACACTGGACTCAGGGAGGGAGAGGGTCTGTGTGCTGATGGCTGGGGGGCTGGCTTGTGGGGTGTACCCTTTGGTTGTTTTATGATGCATAGAGGGGATTGTAATCATTGCAGTGAAATGAAATACAATAGAAGGAATGTAAAGCTAATGTTCTCCCATTTAAATGATCACACAATTCACAATAAAAACTTTAAAAAAGAAAAGATGTTTTAAAAAAATAAAGATATGTGGCTGGGGATTTGGGTCTAAACTGAATAGAAAAAAATGTCTTTTGTCAAGTTCTTGTTTAGTGCAAAACCCTTTTGGAGTTTCTTTCTATGGGTTACTTCATTGGATATGCTTTGCCAACTTCATTTGTTATTTTTTTTTCTAAAAATGTATTATTTTTCTCCCTTAGACGGTACCACCTAAGAATTCTCCAATTCAAAGTATCAAAGTACAATTTACTGGTAAGTATTATCAAAAGTTCAATTAATTCACATCTTAAAAATAATCATCTCTTCAGCTTCCCCTCTTCTCCAGAGCACAAACTCTTTCCCTTACCCTAATGAAGCAATATATTTGGTACTTTTTGGAGCCTGCCTTTCATTTTCATTCATGACAAAGAGGTCTGAAAAAAGTAGAAAAGGAGATTAATTAAGCATCAGACATACAAGATCACTGTGCTAATTACCTTATTGTTGTTGTTAAGTGCCATCTAGTAGGTTCTGACTCATAGAGACTCATAGGATTGACTGGTGACCTTGAACTGCTGACCTTGTGGTTGTTCAAACTGACCTTGTGGTCCAGTGTTTATCTTATAATACCACACCAGGACTCCTAATTACCTCATATAACTCACTTAATTTCCCTAAGGACATTTTGAGATAGGAATTATTATCACTTTTTAGGTAAGAAAACTGAAGTTTTACTTTCTGTAAATCTATCTGACTATAAGACTCATCATTGTCTACTAATCCTATTTTAGGACAAATTATACCTTAACGTGGGTTGTCAGAGGCTCTAGATATGATGGCAAGGTGATACTATGATGCTTTAGTTACCAGAAGAGAATTGTTTAGAGCTATGATATTATACTATGATAACCACTGGTGATTTCTATATGAATAGCCATGCTTACTAAGTTTTTCTGATCCTGAAGTAAATTATATATATTGGGCTCCATAAATGGTCCTTATTTTTAATTCAAAGTATGTCTTTTTACATCCTGAAATCGAGCCTTCCAACAAATCACGAATGACTGAATTCTAGCCAGCAATTGAGAACTGTCATTTCCCATCAAATAGGGAAATGGACCAAAGCACAGAGTCCAAGACACAGTTGCTTGAGCAATCAGGATAATGTTGGGGCTGATGTAGAAATGACACGTAGGCTTTTTGACTTACACTTAGATTGAATTGGTCACACAGTCCTATCAAAGCCATTGCGCTGCCTCCTTCTCCTGTGGTAGAGACACTTTCCAAATTAACTAAGAAACACACACACAAATATACTCTAGCAATAAGGAGGTAGAAGTGAGGAGCAAATCTGCTTCCTTAAGTTACCCCCTCCTGCATATCATTTAGTTCATCCTGAGTTCTCAGGGATTTTGATATACACAGCTGCATTATTAGGCTTATCATGTTTGGTAAGGTGGAATGTCGGAGAAAAAGAGGAAGACCCCCACGCGAGATGGATTGGCAAAGTAGCAGCATCAGTGGGCTCAAGCGTGGCAACAATAGTGAGGTTGGCCCAGGACCGGGCAGTGTTTCATTCTGCTGTGCATAAGGTTGCTATGAGTCGGTACTGACTCGATGGCACCTAACAACAACAACATTATTTTTAGGCTTAATTAAGTGACTACTGGCCAAGGCCAATATAAATCCAAAGGGACTTCAAAAGGTTCATGGAAAAATGCAATTAAACAATAATGGATTTTTTTCCATAAAGTCTTTGAAGCCCCTTTAGACTGTTTGTAAGGTCAGTGTCCAGACTATATGAAAGATTTTCATTCCAGGGTCAAGTACAGGGAGGATAGAAAACAGGTACGAACAATTGCTTTGATTCAAGTTTTTAAGTAGTGTGGAGACCTGGGGAAAGGGACACACATAGTATTCTTTACCATAGTTTATTTTCTGAGCAAGAAAGGAAACAAACTTCTATGTTTCCAACACCTCCAGGTTCTAAAAAATCAGGAAATCCTTAAGACCCATTTCCTACCTGTTGTGACAATTGCTGTAATCACTTAGCTCCCAAATCCCAGCCCCATGTGACTTGGTCACTTGGTCACAAGAAGTATTACCTTTTCCTCCTCTTTCATTCCAGATACAGCAGGCTCCAACCCATGTGTAGAAACACAGTGCTCTCTTGCTTTCACTCATTTTAGTATCTCTCCTTATCATGCTTTTCTCACCTGTCCAGTCATATTGGAAGGTTGCTACTCATCACTGTGCTCAGAAATCATTCAATTTTTTTTTTAATTATTATTTTTACACCTTCCCCTCCCCAGAATGTGAGAACGAGAAAGGATTCATCCTCACGTCCCCAAACAACCAAGTAACCATGAAGGTGCAAGACAACTCCATCATCATCAACTGTGATGGGTTTTATCTCATCTCCCTGAAGGGCTACTTCTCCCAGGAAGTCAGTCTCAGCCTCCCATACCGGAAGGGTCTGAAGCCCCTCCTCCCCCTGACCAAGGTCAAGTCTATTGATGCTGTCACAGTGGCCCACTTGGCTTTCAAGGACAAAGTGTACTTGAATGTGACTACTCATAATACTTCCTGCAAAGACATTTGGGTGAATGGTGGAGAACTGATTCTCATCCATCAGAATCCTGGTGATTTCTGTGGCCAGTGAGGATTTGATGACAATACCTAAGTCAAGCACCAGCAAGATTCCAAGCTGGGGCTGCACAGGAAACTGAATTTTCTTGTGAGTGGAGGAGATGCCCCAGCACCCCATGGTCACATAGGATGTGACCAGAAGCTGATGACCCCCTCTCCTCAGGGATATTTAAAATTTATTTTACATACCAATTAACCTTATTTATCCCCATATCTACTAAATCATCTAACCCTTCTCCTCATGACTGACTGAACCCATTAAGCACCTTTATGGGAATGAGAATATAGGTGCCTCTTCCTCAAGGCACATTGTTTTCATTGGTCAGGAAATCACAGAAGAAACTCACTTCATTGAAAAAGACGTTTGATGACCACTTGCTGGAAAGTCAACTTCTGACAATGTCAAAATGAAGAGGAGCAAGAAAGGGGTTATGAATCTGCCAAAGGTGGCATGGACCAGCCCCTAGGAACCAAAGCTATGTCTCAAGGGTAATTGGTCTTAGTTTACAGTTTGCCTAAATACCTCTTCCTTTGGCAGAGCCTCAAAAAAAAAAAATTATTTTTTTTTCCAACTTGTGAACAGCTATAAGGACTTGATGAAGACAGCTGTCTAAAGAATATGTTTCTGTGTTTTATTCCCCCCCTCCTTTGCTACTGTGCTGTCCCGACATCCAAATCTTTGTAATAGAAATGCCCCTTCAAAGAACCTTGAAGGGATGTGATGCTGTGTAAAGCCTAACTAATTACTTAGGGAAAATCAAGAGATTTTTCTAAGCAGGGAAAAAGATAATTTGTTTTGAGGTTATATTTACCACATAGGATACCGGACCTCTCAGGGTAAAAGATAATAGGAATTTGTCTGGGGAGGACAATGCATTCCTTACTAGAGATAGGCAAAGTACCACATTCATTTAGTCCTGTTTGTGCTTAGGTAACATAGTCAGCAAGGTGCCTTGTACACAGATGAGTATGCCACATTGCTGTTGTTAGGTATTGTCCAGTTGGTTCTGACTCATGGTGATCCCCTATGTGTAGAGTAGAACTACTCCATAGGATTTTCAAGGCTATTTTTTATTTTTTTTTAAATGATGTGATTCTATTACCAAATGCAACTTTATGTCAAAAGGCACTAGGAAGCTGCTGAGCCTTATTATAACTACCTGTCTAGTGATAATATAATACCATATCTGATCTCACACTGATAAGTGAGACTAGAGGATCCATAATTAGTCAATAGGACTACCTGTGTAGTGTAAATGGTTAATGTGCTTTTAAATGCTAAAGAAAAGGCTGGAGGTTCAAGTCTACCTAGAGGTGGCTAGAGTAAAAAAAAAAATCAGCAATACAGAATCCTATGGAGCACAAGTCCACTCAGACACACATGGAGTTGCCATGAGTAGGAAATGACTAGTTGGCAACTAGTGGTTATCAGGGATAAGACCTCAGGGATTCCTTACCCTTAATTTAAATGCCCTCTTTAATTTGATACAGTATATAAATATTTATGGACTCCCTGGGTGGTACAAACAGTTACGCACTCAACTAGTAGCTGAAAAGCTGTTGGTTCAAACCCACCCCAAATTGCCTTGGCTTGGCAATCTGCTTCCAAAAGATTACAGCTTTGAAAACCCTATTAAGGAGTTCTACTCTGCACATCAGGGGTTGCCATGATTGATCTGTTGGCAACTAACAACACAGTAAATCATATTTATGGTACTATGGATGAATGCAATTTTTTTATAATCCAAATTTCCAGATGTTTATGAGTTCTGTAATATACCAAACATTTTACAAGTATAAGCTTTTTTTATTGATTAAAAGTTAAACCAACACCAACTTTTAATTGTAGAAGATGCTTCCCTACTACTTTAAATAGAGTACATAAGTTGAATCTTTCTTGGATGATTCTTTGACATCATAGCTATTGTGCTGTGCTGAAATGCAGTGATGTCTCCAGGATATATAGAAAAGTAGGGGGCTCTGCCCCTGTGCTAAATGTTCCCAATTCCATTTGGATTCTTTCTCTGCTTGAGACTTAAAAAAAAAAAATCTTTTTTTGAGTGTCCATACCCAACTATATACCTTTCCTTCTATTTTAATCTATTTTTTGGATAGAAATCAAATAAAAATGTTAAGTTAAAAGAAGCTAAATAAAAATATAATGTGTAATGTATAAATAGTCAAATGCTGGGTGGCTACCAAGACACTCAAATATTAATAATAATAGCTAAACATTTATAGAGGGCCTATACCTTGGCACTGAGCTAAATGTTTTATGTTGATTGTTCTGATCAAAGACTTTGTGATATCTATCTTGGCTACTCAGATAATTTATATACAGATATGGAGCTATAGGATAAGAACTGTGCTGCTAACTATAAGGTTGGTGGTTCAAATCTACCACTTGTTACTTGGAAGACCTATATAGGGTTATTATGAATCAGAACTGACTTGATAGCATTTAACAACAATAACACCACCACCATACCTTGTTTTATTGTGCTTTATTGCACTTTGCTTTACTTCACAGATACTGTGTCTTTTACAAATTGAAGGTTTGTGGAAACCCTGCATTGAGCAAGTTGATCTGTGTCATTTTACCAACAGCATGTGCTCACTTGATGTCTCTAAGTCACATTTTGGCAAATCTCATAAAATTTCAAATACTTTCATAATGCTATTGCATATTTAATAGACTATATTACTCCATGCTGTTGAGTTAGTTCCGACTCATAGTGATCCTATGCATGACATAATGAAGTACTACTGGGTCTTGAGGCATCCTTACATACAAAGGTTGTTATTGTGAAGTGCCGTCATGTTGTCTCTGACTCATAGTGACCCTATATAGGGTTTCCGAGGAGAGGCTGATGGATTTGAACCTCCTACCTTTTATTTAGAAGCCCAGTGCTTATCCTACCGCATGATGCCAGGACCCCTGATAAATGATAAAATAGTGTAAACATAACTTTTATATGCACTGGGAAACCAAAAAAAAAATTCATGCAACTTGCTTTATTGTGGTGGTCTGGAACCAAACCTGCAATATTTGTGAAGTGTGACTGCATATATGTGTGTGTGTGTGTGTGTGTGTGTGTGTGTGTGTGAATGTGTTTGTAGTTGTTTATTTCTATGTCATTGATTATATTCTAGTTGAAGTTACTCAATGAGTGATAATTGAGTAAGTCACGGTTTATGACAAGAGGTAATATTTAAGAAAATGTATGTTTCTTTACGTTTGGAATTTTTGTTTATCTTTCTCATGGATATGTCCATGGCAGGTCTAAGCATAACTGTTCTGTGTGTTGAACTTGTCTTTGGCACCATAGCCCTTCTGCACAGTCCCCTATACCCTTTGGGTACACCTGGCCTCTCTCTCCATGCTGGCCTCCCTCAGTCAGACAGGGATGTTTCTGCCGTGTACCAGTCCACTCTCTCACCTTTCCGCTCATCAAAGGAAGCATGTTTTGAGTCAGATTTCATTTAAGTCATGTCCTCCAAAGGGATAATTATCTCTTCTTTGGACATGGCATAGCTGTATAGAAAGAGAACTGAGTATGAAGGAAAGAAGATATTGGTTTTAATTTTGACCCAGTCACAGACTAGCCAAGTGGCTTAGGGCTTATGGTTTCCTATTCTTGGATCCCAGTTTCCTCTATTGTTAAAGAAAAGAGATGGACCAAGGGATCTTTAAGGGATCTGATACTTAGAAATCTTGCGCTCATAGATAATCAATGTACATATTTTAAATATTTTAAAATGTACATTGAATATCTATATCCTGGTTGCCATGAGTCAAGAGGTATAAGCTGCTTTTTTTTATGGAATACTTTTTTTTTTTTCTTTTCTGACAAGCTAGTATCTTCCCTTTCCCTCCACCATCTTAGTGATTTCTTTGAGAGCAGTTGCCAGTTGCTACTTAGTGATCTTTTAATTTTTTAAGAAAACAGCTGAATCTAACCTTGGTCCAAATCCTAATTTGTTTTTAAGCATATTGGGCAGGTGCCTTAATTGTAAGCCATACTTTTGTATTTAGTGCTTTCTTTGCTCTCAGAGAGTTTTAATATTAATATAATATAAATAATAGAGCTAATAATATTATTGATATTCACGTGGAAATAAAAGATCTCAGAATCCCCTTCTGGTAAGTGTTGGAGTTTTTATTTATCCTTCTGATTTCCATTTCCTTATTAGCATGACTGATGAGGGGAGAATGGTGCAGATTTTCTGGTTTGCGTCTGGCCTCCAATTTAGCCATCAGAGCTATGTTTGGGATGAATGGCAAAGTCCATCTTTGATTTTGATGAGATAGTCACTAGAAGTCCTCAGGCCTATGGTTCAAGAGACTAATGTAACTAAAATTCCACCACGTACTGGTTTTCCTTCCTTAAGGAATTCTAGCCTGAGACAATGAGTATTATGGCCCCTTATGTGTGCAGTTCCAAAAAGTAAAAACTCTTAACATACTTGTATGGAGCAGTTATGCTATGTTGCTGTTGTTAAGTGCCGTCAAGTCGATTTTGACCCATAGCGACCCTGTATAGGGTTTCCAAGGAAAAGCTGGTGAGCTTGGCAGGTCAAATGGCAGCTTGAACCACCGACCTTGTAGTTCAAAGGACTTTGCAGTCTGACGCATTAGCCCATAGCGCCACACCAGGACTACGCTATCGTTATCTCCACATCACTTTTGATATTGTTGATGACTCTCCTTAAAACACTCCTCTGACTTCTTTCACCTCACCTTTTCTGGACTTCTTTCTCACTCTCTGCTTTCTGTCTTTCTTGGTCTGTTCCACCTCTCCTCTTCCTTGATCCAGCTGTTTCATGCTCGTGTTCTCCAAGGCTCCACCCTCAGCCTTCTTCTTTCTCTACATCAGAGGCCACAACTTGGCTGCCAATAGAGTACACTATAGCTTATGTATGTATTTTATATGTTTGTGAGATTGAATTTAGTTCCCAACATTTGGAAATTTCAGGTTTCTTTGGGAAAAAAATGAGATTGGTAATGTTGAG